CACACCATGACAATAACCATTCATTTAAAGCAAAAAGTCTACTGAACCTTTCGTGTCCACGTCGATACATGGGAAGCGGTCCTGACACGATGATCGTCGTCGCAGGCGATATGCTGCGCACCGTCTCGATCTGAGTCCCTGAAGTCCCTTGTCAGTGTCTCCGTCTGCCGCAGCTTGGTGTCGTTAACCCCAGCTTGAAGCACGACTGCTCCAGGGCTCTCGTCGCCCTTCGGGATTGCGGGTATCTGCGCAGAAACATCAAGAACACAAGCACCAGGAAAACAGTGGGTGTGCACTTTACCTTCAGCTAACGTAGCACGGACGTGTCGGACGATGGAGTCTCCAACGATCACAGCGTCGCCATTGGACCATTGGAGGGGGAGCTGAATCGCAGGTTATAGAGAAATGCAGCGCATGTGAGAAGATGGAGAGTTTGGCAGCTGTATTTTAGGTCATTCAGTGTTACTTTAAAGACATTGACTGCGAGTTTATACTGGGTTACAGTGTGCGTACATGTTAAGTAAGTAATTGCTGTCTATATTTTTTCTGTTATTGTTAGGGATCAGCTGTTATTCTTGTACCGAAAAGGAGTAGCCAATTAGCATAGCACTGCCTGTATTACCTGTTCGATTCAGTGCATTCGCAAGTATTTCTGTGATATTCCTTGTTGTGAGATGCTTATATGTATATGCTGTACATTGTGTTATTATTGAATATTATTAACCTTATTATTGTGTGTTCACCTTATGCGACGGTTTCTTGATTGCACGTAGCGATCATCTGCTTATGCTGAGTTCACACTGCACGATTGTCAAACTCGTCGGATCGCCGTTGTTTTCACACTGCGTGACTATCTGGGGTAGCATTCAGTTGCTGCTGTGTTCACATTGCACGATGGATCGGCGACAGGGGGGTTCACACTGCATGACTTCACAATAGGAAGAATCGCAGACAGCTCTGTCTGGTCCGCAAACTACGTTTCACAACAAAACACACGCAAGAAGTGATAAGGAAATAACGCGAGAACCCGCATGCGGCAGGGACCAGGGATTGGATGTTCTGCAAAGAGAGTTTTTTGCAATAATTTAGCAGTAACTGTTATGCTGATGTTGTGGCTGGGCAAGCAAATGTGCTTGTTTCTGTATGATATAATTGTTCATATATCTGTTAAAATACTGATATTCTGGTCTATAACTCCTCCCTGAACTTCCCTCTGCCCTGTATCTTGGTCTCTCATTGGCTGTAGGTCATCGCCGATGTGTTTTTCAGTCAGAACTCATTTCATACTGCTTGATTGTGAATAGCCGACAGCTCCAGATATTTAGCATGCCAAATATTTTGCCGGAGTCGGCGAGGTGTGGGGGATTCCCTCAGATCGGGTCTTTGATAATTCACACTGCGTGATTGTCACTGGCATGAAGGAGCACCCGATTTCGGGCATTTGTCGGCGATTTGGCAAAACCTGTCGGCGAGTGAAAAATCGGGCTAAAATCGTGCAGTGTGAACTCGGCATTAGTACATGTCCAGGCATGTTACCCTGCCCTCCTGCTGCATTCACGTGCAGATAGCGCCCTCTTGTGGACATTTAGAGCATAAACGCCCATGTTATATAGTATAATGTAGCGTTATATATTGTGTGCTGTTCAGTGTTTTAATATGTTTATTGTGGAACATTTGTATATTCATATCATTAAGTTTATTTCTCTTGTTTAATCCATTTCAGAAACCACACACATGTATACCCATAAAGTCTTCAGTAAATCAGACATCAACCAACTCCATTGAGTGCTTCTCTTCAATTAAGAAACCCTCTCACTCAGTCCTGACAGACTGCCTACTGTTTCACATTCCGCAAAATTAATACACCAACGATCCCCTCCATTTCAAATACACACATGCATAAGAAATGTAAGAGTATGTGTAAATAAATAAATACAGAGGTTACATTCATCATCATCATCATCATCATCATTTCCATGGGGGTGGTGCATATTTGATATTACACTAGCATGGCTAATGAAACTAATTTCTTTTGCACCTTGGCTCATCTAGGAAATATATCAGAACTACTAATTTCAATTTTGATTTAGGCTACTGTATGTAAACTCTATGAGTTTAGGTAGCGATGAGGTAGCGGCAGCCTAATATAAAACTGAATGAGATTAGGGTTTCATTAATGTTTTAAATGTCTATTTTAGTTATTTGATCTTTTCATGTTGAGCCATGGTCACAAAACAAAACCTTTTCTATGGATAAGAATTAATTATCCAATACATGCGCATATGTGTGTGTTTTTTACGGTTTGCCGTTTTAGCACAGTTTGGCGCTTGTTTTCATAAACTCTGAAAAGTGCATTAATTTGATCTGGTTAATGTGGAAATCGTATGGTGTAGACTGGGAAACGAATTTCTTCATTTTAACCAGATATTACGTTCACATCTTTACTGGTGAACTGGATGTAGAAGCCTCCAGGGGACGCAGCTGGGTTTTATACAGTATGCGCTCCTTTCAACTTCAGTCAGAGACAGTTGTTTTGGAAACTTGAAGTCGCTGATGATAAAATGGAGCACACAGAAGGTAAGATTTGTGTTCGTCTAAACAGATAAGTTAAACTTCTTGTGTGTACTTGTGTGTTGAATGTATCTTTGGCGAGCAATCAGAATCGAATAGGGTAACTGATCCTCTGATTTTTACAAGATTTTTTAAGTGTTTGCTTAATATTCACATATCAAAAGAGTAAGTAACTAATACAAAAAAAATTGTAAACATGCAAATATAGCAGTGCCTGGCTGTAAAGTGAAACGTACTTTGTAGGATCATTGTGTGTGGTTATTTCGGCATTTGTTAGTGCTTTTTAAGTTTTGCTTTGATCTTATTCTGACTTTTCCGGTACTGAAAGAAGAAAGAAAGAAAAAAATGACTTTCAAAACTTGACTTCGATAAGTGCAGTAGCCTACGTAGCTACGCTGGGGTTCTTATTTCTTGCACTATTAAACCATTTAATTATGTATTAATCTAACGATTCACTCGAATTTGACCCTCCATAGTGTGGGCTACCTCAGAATGCATCTTTAAATGCACATTTAAGTTTACAATTGCATTTTGCACATTGCATATGAATATGAATATACAAGTAATAGCACATATCCAGCGCTTCTCTCATGGTGATTAGGGAGTTGTTTGCATAAAATAACATCCTTCACATTCACATATTTATAGGCTAGATTTCTCACAAAACACTGAGACATTGATGTAAAAAGTAATATTTAGATATTACTATTTAGACATTAAATATATATGGTAGTAAATTTTCTAGTCTATTGCATTTTTTCAAATTTCTAGCATATTCTTTTACTGCATATTCTACCAAATGTATAAAAGGAGAAGCAGACACCATTTCTGCTACAGTAGCCTACATGATTTATTGTGAGACTTGCTTGAGGGCCTGCTGACTTGATGCTCTATAACTGTGTTTGATTTGTTTGTTTAAATATTTTTTGGGAAAGATTCAATTGAAACATTGAAGTTTACATCAACTTTTCTCAACAAAGAAGAATTTTTGACAAAGACAAACCGAAAAAATCTACACTCTCAGACAATAAAGCTGTCACTGGGGCGGTGCCCTAACGTACAAAAGCTAAAAGGTACATTTCGTACCTTATTTTCCCTATATTTTCCTATGTTTTCAAACACATCTTAACATAATGTATGACCAATTTATCATATGCTATATATCTGTCCCTCTGACTGAAAAAAGGGTTGTGGTTTAGTGTGGAACTCAATGTTTTTGTTGTGCTGAATTCTGTGTAAATTAGGTTCCCTTATGTGTGTAAGTTGGGAGGCTTTAAAAACGTAGTAAAGCCTATGAATTTCAGCTCTCACATATGAGTCTTGTTTAAGGGAAGAAAATAAAACAAAAATAAAATAAAAATAAATAAATATTTAACAAAGATTTTAGTTGTTAAATTAATAATTCAGCCAAAATTAAAAATAGTTGAAGCTGTAAATTTCCATTTAGTTATTGCTTTGGTATAATAACTCAACTGAACATTGCAATGCAACAAAGAGTTTGCTTTCAGCTCTTTCCCTGCCTTCTGCTTCCACCTTTTGTCTGACAGTAGAATTAACATGTAATGAATACTGTAATCAAGAGATATGACAATGATGTTCTCTTCCTTTGCAAGCTACAAAATATTTATCCTTCAGTTGGTTTTAGAAATATTTTTTCTCCATCCCAGATGCGGTTTGCTTTCTTGATAAAATCCTCCATGTTTAATTTGAATTGCACTGGAGTGTCTGATCCTAATAAAATGTTAATTGGTTAAAGGTTTAAGTTGAAAGATTGAATATTTCTTTGCACAGGTTTATGCTACCCAGTGTGTTTTTTGCTTTGGTGATTTCAGTGAGTGAAGTACTGCCACATCCATCAATAATATAATATTTTATAAACTACTTATTTTTCTGTGTGATTTATTTTAATTACAGGGAGAAAAAGAGAGAAAGAGAAAAGTCCAGATGGTTATCGCTCCAGCAGTCCAAACTTTCCTCGCCCTAACAGTAAGCTAAAAAAAGAAGAAGAAAAAAAGATAAACATTGAAAGATGCAATTTATGCTAGTTGTTATTCTAAGTTGTAATCTAGATGTCTGATATATGTTTTGCAAAATTTTCAAGTGTCAAAGCTGAATCTGGTTGTGTGCGGGAGTGACGGGACATTAAAATCCTCGATATCAGAGCTGATCCTGCAGCAGACAGAGAGAAGATCAGACGTGGAAGTTCACGATCATCTGATCAGTCTGGTGGAGCTTCCAGCTCTCAATCAGCTCTCAGATGAGGAAGTGATGCGTCAGACTCTCCGCTGTGTGTCTCTCTGTCATCCTGGAGTTCATGTTTTCCTCCTCATTGTTCCTGTTGGTCCACTGACAGATGAAGCCAAAGCAGAAATGGAGGTGATCCAGAGGATATTTGACTCAAGAGAGCATTTCATGGTTCTCTTCACCTCAAATCTCCCTGTTGAAGGACCAGTGGCAGATTTAATCAAATCCAGCCCAGAATTTCAGAGGTTAATCAGTCGTTGTGGAGGTCAGTACAGAGTGATGGGGTTAAATGAACCTGAAAATTCAAGACAGATCCCAGAACTGCTGGTTTATATAGAGAACATGAAGACTGAACCCTATTCATCAGAGATGTATGTGAAGGCTCAAGAGAACAGAGCCAGACATGAAACAGAGAAGAAATATGAAGAGAAACTGAGGAAAATGGAGAATGAAATAAAAGAATTACAGCAGAAGATGGAGTCAGAGGGTGAGTAAATTTTACCCTTAAAATCTCTTGTAGGTAATAATTGCTTGGTAATAATTTTGTTAATAATTTTTTTAATAATTAATGTATGGAAAATAAAACAGAGCAATGTTGTCATTCAAGTGACAAGCTGCATTTCCATCTCATGTGTTCAATAGAACAAAACTGTCACTTCCAGGAAATTTCACAAAATTATCAATTGAAAATACAAGTGAAATTAAAGCCAGTAGATATTTGCTTCTTCTGTCCACAAAGTTACATGGCCTGTCATGAATGCCTTTTTAAAAGCACAAACAGAGATTTCAACTCTGCTGGAAACTCAACCATTAATTATACTAACGTGATTTTCAGGTGCTGAAGTTGAAACAGATGATCTGAAGTCTTTGAGGATTGTGCTGATCGGGAGAACAGGAAATGGAAAGAGTGCAACAGGAAACACTATTCTAGGAAGATATGAGTTTGTGAGTGAAGTAAGTCTCGATTCAGTGACAACTGTTTGTCAGAAGGGAGTTGGAGAAGTTAATGGTCGATCAGTAGCTGTTGTTGATACTCCAGGTCTCTTTGACACAACACTGTCAAATGATCAAGTGGTGGAAGAAATAGTGAAATGTGTTTCATTGTCATCACCTGGACCTCATGTGTTTGTCGTTGTGTTGAGTGTGAAAAGATTCGACCAGGTTGAGATGGACACTGTGGATCTGATAAAGAAGATCTTTGGATCAAAAGCTGCTCAGTTCAGCATCGTTCTGTTCACTAGAGGAGACGAACTAAAGAATAAGTCCATAGACAAATATATGAGTGAAAGTAAGTCTGCTGAACTAAAGAAACTGATCAGAGATTGTGGAAACAGATTCCTGGTTTTTAATAACAATGATAAACAAGACAAAACTCAAGTCATTCAACTGTTAAACATGATAGAAGAGGTGAAAAAAACTAATGAGTGTCGATACTTCACTAACAGCATGTTTGAGGAGGCAGAGATGTCCATTAAAAAGAGAATGGAGGAAATACTGAAAGAAAGAGAAAGAGAAATTCAGACTCAACATGAGAAACTGAGAGTCAAATATGAGACAGAAATGGAAGAACTCAAGAAGAGACTGGAAGATGAGAAAAGAAACGCAGGTGAGGAGAGAATACAAAGAGAGAATGAGTTCAGACAAAAAGAGCAAAGACTATTAAAAGATTTAGAAGAAAAACATAAAATAGAAAAACAGGTACAAGAAATTGAGAACCAGAAACGATTAAAGGAGGAAAAAGAGCAAAAAGCTGAATATGATGCAAAATTTGAAGAGATGAAGAAAGAAATTAAAAATCAGAGATCACAGTATGAAAAACAGCAAAAAGAAAGAGAAAAAGAAGATAGAGAGAGAGAAGAGAAATACAGACAAGATCAAGAAAAGATGAAAAATGAACAGGAACGCATCATAGCAGAATTACAGATGAGACAAGGAGAGGAAATGAAAAAGAGAGAATCTGAGGAGAGAAAGAGGAATGAAGAAGAAGAGGAGGAGAGACAGAGATGGAAAATAAAAATAAAAGAGGCTGAAAATGACAGAAAAGAGACTCAAGAGGAAATAAAACGGCAGCTTAGAGAATGGGAGGATGAAAAGAAACGACAGATGAGAGAACGAGAGGAAGAAGAAAGAAAGAGAAAAGAAAATCACGAAGAACAACTGAGAGAAAAACAAGAAGAACAGGAGAAAATGAGAAAGAGATTTGAAAGAGAGAGAGAAGAAGAAAGACAGAAGATAGAGGAGGAGAGACAGAAAGAGAAAAGAGAAAGAGAAGAAAAAGAGAGAGAATATGAGAAAAAGAGAAATGAAATGGAAAGATATTATGAACAACTGGAGCGTGAAAGAAAAGAGAAGTGGGAGAGAAGAAAACAAAAAGATGATGAGAGACAAGAAGAAGAGAGAAATAAATGGAAGAAAATAATTGAAGATCTGAAACGAGAGCATAAAGAAGAGATCAAGAGAAGAGAAAGAGAGGAGAAGGAGAGAAAAGAAAAAGAAGAGGAAGCGCAAGATGAAATTAAACAAAAACATGAAGAGAAAATAAAAGAGATGAAAAAGAAATATCAATATGAAGCCAGAAAACAAGCAGAAGAATTTAGTAAGTCAACAGAAAGAAAACTGCAGCACGTTCTGGAGCTTGATGACATGATTAAAGAACATCAAAAACAACAGGAGTTACTGGAAAAACTCTATAAACTCCTGAAAGACCAGAAAGGAGAAGAAATAAAAGAGCTAAAACAAGAATATGAAAAACTGAAAAATAAACCAGGCTGTATTATTGTTTGATTGTTTTCATTGCATGAAGATGCAATTTTTTTTATTTTCTGTATTTACTTACCTTAAGCTATCTGATTAGAATTATTTTGATGACAAAAACAAGAAAACAAGAAGTTGTTTAAATCTTTTTAAAAATAAAAAAAAAATTTAAAATTTAACTTTTTAAAACAAAGTTACGGCACTGTTGGGAATGGCCACTACAGCTGGTGACATGACCAGGTTCAAAACTCAAGTCATTCAACTGTTAAACATGATAGAAGAGGTGAAAAAAACTAATGAGTGTCGATACTTCACTAACAGCATGTTTGAGGAGGCAGAGATGTCCATTAAAAAGAGAATGGAGGAAATACTGAAAGAAAGAGAAAGAGAAATTCAGACTCAACATGAGAAACTGAGAGTCAAATATGAGACAGAAATGGAAGAACTCAAGAAGAGACTGGAAGATGAGAAAAGAAACGCAGGTGAGGAGAGAATACAAAGAGAGAATGAGTTCAGACAAAAAGAGCAAAGACTATTAAAAGATTTAGAAGAAAAACATAAAATAGAAAAACAGGTACAAGAAATTGAGAACCAGAAACGATTAAAGGAGGAAAAAGAGCAAAAAGCTGAATATGATGCAAAATTTGAAGAGATGAAGAAAGAAATTAAAAATCAGAGATCACAGTATGAAAAACAGCAAAAAGAAAGAGAAGAAGAAAACAGAAAGAGAGAAGAGAAATACAGACAAGATCAAGAAAAGATGAAAAATGAACAGGAACGCATCATAGCAGAATTACAGATGAGACAAGGAGAGGAAATGAAAAAGAGAGAATCTGAGGAGAGAAAGAGGAATGAAGAAGAAGAGGAGGAGAGACAGAGATGGAAAATAAAAATAAAAGAGGCTGAAAATGACAGAAAAGAGACTCAAGAGGAAATAAAACGGCAGCTTAGAGAATGGGAGGATGAAAAGAAACGACAGATGAGAGAACGAGAGGAAGAAGAAAGAAAGAGAAAAGAAAATCACGAAGAACAACTGAGAGAAAAACAAGAAGAACAGGAGAAAATGAGAAAGAGATTTGAAAGAGAGAGAGAAGATAAAGGCAGTAGCGGCTGGGTCACCTGGATGAGGGCGTATGATGTTGAAAGACCCGAAACACCCGATGAACACAGGAAGCATCACTGATGATACGTCCCCAGCGTATCCATAGGATGTATCTTTCACCTGAGCCATTACATATTGGCATTTTGCTTGTATACTTTGTGTATTTAATAAAAGCATCAAATATTGCAACATTATTTTTCCTTCCATTTTTTTCCCTTTTATATATAAAACTGAAACAGATATTTTGTTTCTTTTCAGTCTGGTCACCTTAATAAATTCAACCTTTTTAGCATCCATTATTGTGATTTTTTTTAAGGACACCAAATAAACCTTATCTTTGATATTTATGGTAGTTATCATTTTCAAGTCAAGTCAAGTCAAGTCACCTTTATTTATATAGCACTTTATACAATACAGATTGTGTCAAAGCAGCTTTAGTGTCAAACAGAAAAACAGTTTGTCAATAATGCAAGAGGACAATTAAAAAACAGTAATTTTTCCAGTTAAAGTCAGTTTTTTTTGTTGAAAAAAGATCATCCAGATCATCCAGCTCAGTTCTCTTCGAATAGTGTTTGTGCATAGTGTTAAGTAAATGTCTGCCATTTAAAAATATTGTTTCTGATGTCTGGCTAAACCCACTCATCATCATATTACAGTTATGCGGTAAGTTGTGCCAAAACTTATTAAGCTAATTTAACTATGCACAAGGAAACACTTCAGAGTTTGCATCGGTATTTGGCTCATCAAAATAATAAAAGAGGTAAAAAAGAAAAAAAATGACACATCTTGCCCTCTTCCCCTGACTGTTTAAAACTAAAGAGAGAACTACTAAAGAGAGCCAGAAACATCTGAAATCAACGGCTGACATGTTACTGTGATCAACACTCCAGGACTGTTTGATACTGAAGTTACTAATGAGGAGATTCAGAGATAAATCAGCAACTGCATCTCCATGATCCTGCCTGGACCACATGTGTTCATCATTTAGGATAAAAATTCACTCAACATGAGGAAATACCAGTCAAGTCAAGTCAAGTCACCTTTATTTATATAGCGCTTTTAACAATACAGATTGTGTCAAAGCAACTGAACAGCATTAATTAGGTAGGGGATATATTCACACGTTATATAAACGAAAATGATGGTGTATAAAATTGATATTAAAATAGAAAATTAGACGACAAAGAATTAACTTGACGGAGCTCAAACTCAAAACACACGGTAGCAACAAAAACCAGTGAAGATCATCCAAGAGATGTTTGGTGAGAAATCTTAAATGTACACCATTTAAGGAGATGATCTGAAGGACAAAAACATTGATCATTGTTTGGGGAAACCTGGAAACATACACTGTGTGGGGGTTTTTCTGGTTACTCAAATGACTCTTTTCACTTACTTCCCCTTATATATCCAAACCAGAACAAATAAATAATCAAATTAATTGTAAAGAAGACCTTTTGGTTGGTCAGGATCCATGACCAAGGGTCACACCTGGCCGGAGATGGGAAAACATTCTCACCAGAGACCTTGAGGAAACACACCCAGATCTCAGCAGCAGAACAGTTTTCAGTCTTTCTCATAGTATAAGTGACTGCTGTGAAATTGAGGTCATTTTAGCAGTCACACTGAGACGTTAAAAATGATATCAAACAATAGATTCACAAGATACATCATATGTGGTATACAGACATTCTTAGTGAACTTTCAGTGTCTTGAGGCTGGTGGAGGAGCAGAGGGAAAGAGGAGGGGGTTCAGGATAATAAAGGGAAGCAGGTTGGGAAAGGTGGTGTTCTTTGCTCTTTTTTTGGGTCTTTTCTCCATATTAGTGAGTTTTATTGTTTTATTGCATGGTGTTTGATTTAATGTTCTGTTTGCTTCAAGTACATTCACCTGCATTAAAATAGTTTAAGAAATAAAGTCATATTATAAAATCAACTCGCATGTGAGATCAAGCAGTTCAAGTAAGGTTTGCACTAATATCATTTTTTTATTGTCATCACTTTATTCTTAGCCCTTTGAACTTACTCCGATAAAACAAAGAATCATAAAAAATCAAAAACCTCCAAAGTGCTTTTTGGTCAGAAAATTTAAATATATGCATTTTGCATATGCTTTTTAAGTGACTTTGCATTCAAGGTGTCAGTTCATGCTCCCTGGAAATTTTGTGATGAAATTTATTTATTTATTGTTTTTGCCATAAAAGTAGTCTAATATAAATATTATATATATTTTTATTGTGGTATATTTTACCATATGTGACCCTGGAGCACAACACCAGTCTTAAGTCGCTGGGGTATATTTTTAGCAATGGCCAAAAAAACATTGTACAGGTCAAAATTATCGATTTTTCTTTTATGCCAAAAATCATTAGGATATTAAGTAAAGATCATGTTCCATGAAGATATTTTGTAAATTTCCTACCGTAAATATATCAAAACTTAATTTTTGATTAGTAATATGCATTGCTAAGAACTTCATTTGGACAACTTTAAAGGCAATTTTCTCAATATTTAGATTTTTTGCACCCTCAGATTCCAGATATTCAAATAGTTGTATCTCGTCGATGGAAAGCTTATTTATTTAGCTTTCGGGTGATGTATAAATCTCAATTTAAAAAAAAATTGACCCTTATGACTGGTTTTGTGGTCCAGGGTCACATATCTTACCACTTAAATGTAATCACAGATTAATTTAGATATTCTAATTGTGAAACAAATCTGTTTTGAATTTGAAATTTTGCTTTTAGAGGAATGTTGTATTTACTCCTTTGTTGGTTAACCGCAAAATACATGGATGTGTGTCTAAAACTTTCACATGTGAGTAACATGGTCATTTTATAGGCATTTCAGTCAAATCTGACCTTTGATTTTTGAGAATATCAAGTGTCGGTGATATAATGGCGTGCAGTGCAGGTAAGGTTTTAACCAATGCAAAATTTTAACCAGATATGTGAATTTACAGTTATAATCTAATACTGAGGTAAATTATCATTTATCTTAATTACTTAATTGTTTTTCAGTAGTTATATACACTTGATTAGAATGGGCATTTTGAAAGATGAAGCAACTGATACGCAACACATTTTAATACAAATTAAACTTGCAGATATATTTTCGAAGAAATTCAAAGAATGTCTCTATCTGCAAACAGACTTTAAAAATATCAAGGTCTGTCAGTGTTTGCATGTGTAGCTGTGTAAACCGCACAGTTGTTGGCATTTATGATTATTTGTGTTTATTGTCATTATTTTGTGTTTTATTCTCTCCCTTTTAAAAATATTTTTGATAGTGTGTAAAAAGGCTAATTTATGCAAACTGAATAGGCTAAAAATATTGAAATGCAGAGACATCTTTTTTTTTCTTTCTGCCAAGCAGAACCTGTAACTGGAGTCAAAGTCCTTTTCAAGGCAAATCAGTTCACTCTCTTACAGTTTTTTTTATTAAGCACGATTTTAAAAACAAGGCTCTTTTTGTCAAAACACAACACACAATTTACACACAAGTATCAGAACACCTCAGATCTTTTGCAAAATTAAGCACTTTGTTCAAAACTTTTCAATAATTTAACAAAACCCGATTTTAGCACTATATGGCACACACATGGTTCATACAATCTGATTCTGTTTGAACCACTTACACATTGTGGTGCTCAATCTTAAACACATGTAACATTTCTACATTTTTCTAATGATATACTGTAGACTGGGTTTGATTTTTTCAGAAATATTGTTAGAGTACCGTACATGATCGACCAAACACAACACACAAGACCAGTACTGTACATTGATGAAAATATTTGTTTCTCTCCACATTGTAAAATCAGTCAATACATCCATGCATTTCCAAAGGTTGCATATTGCACTGAAAATCAGAACATATTCTAAATGCAATATAGAAGATAAATATTTGTGGAGAGAAAAAGAAAGCATAAAAAATAAACAAAACAAAACAAAACAAAAAAAACTCAATATCATCTCTTCGCTGCATCTGGCCATAGCACTTCCTGTGTGTAGTATTTTGCAAAAAGTGTGAGGCTGAGAATGTGCTTATAATTCTGCAGATCTGGACTGAGGTTTTGCTCCTTGAGTGTAAGGTTTCACTAACTGTGTGCTATTTTTAATTTTAGAGTGTAAGCAATCGTAAAAAACTGTAAGAACAGTATTTGCTTATGAATCCTAAAAAACAGGGTAGCCACAACTTACCTTTCTGACCTTATACAACCCGCACATCCTATCGAGGTCTGCAGACTATATGGTTCTGGCTGTCCCTAGAGCAAGGCTGAAGCACAGAGGAGATTGTGCCTTTGCAGTTGCTGCTACTAAAGTCTGGAACAATTTACTATGGCCCCAAACACTGTCTGCTTTTAAATCTAGTCTTAACCCTTGTGCGGTCTTCGGTCATTTCTGACTGGGAGAATTTTACATTTTGAATTTTTAAAAATTGTAGCTTCACCAGAATGGTACGAAACTTGGTGACTTTTATGTCACTTGGTATGTGAACACACAAAAAAATTGAAGTCATGATTCGAAAAAGCTAAGTGCTCGTAAAAAAAAAAAAAATAGATACATTCCCTCATGTCACGGGTTGCTACTGTGAGGAGCACGGAGCGAGGAGACCAGGAGTAGAAAACAAAGGAGTTTAATTATCTTTTTCAGGGAATCACACGTAGCACAAGGAGTTGACAAACAATTCCAGACAAGGGAGAACAGAACGGGCTAGAACTAAATAGGGCAGATAACGAGGGGCAGACAGGTGATGGGGATAACTAACAACAAGGAACAGGTGATAATAATAATGGGAAAAGGAGCTGGAAGGACCAAATAAGGACAACAGGAACATACACGTGACAGATCGCCCTCCTCCCGGACGGCGCGTCCCGCACCAGGGGGGGGCAGGCGCCCTGGAGGCTGGTGCAGGACTGGAACAGGGCAGAGACAAGGAGAGCCTCCAGAGCGGATCAGGGAGCCATGGCGGATCAGGGGACTCAGGAGGCCATGGCGGATCCTCCGTGGCCTTAGCTGGCTCGGCCACCACGGCCACGGGCATATGCTCCCCCCCAAAAAAAATGTTCTTGGGGAAAACTAGGCATCCTGGTGGTCGCTCAGGAAGAGCGGGCTCTGGCGGGCGCTCAGGAGGAGCGGGCACTTGAGACGCTCTGGAGGAGCGGGCACTTAAGGGCGCTCTGGAATGCGCTTACGAGGAGCGGGCACTGGGCCTGGAGAAGACACTGGAGCGAGCTCTGGGGCTGGAGCCGACACTGGAGTGAGCTCTGGGGCTGGAGCCCTCCCTGGGCTTAACTGGGCAAACAGGAGCCCTCCCTGGGCTTAACG